AACCCCGTTTCCCTTCCCCCGAGGCTTCTTCCCCTCACCCCAGGGTCTCCCATTCCTCGGGTGGCGGGGACTTCTCCCTGCCTTTATTTTAGATCTCCCCAAATTAAAGATACAAAAATCGAGGGGAAGAGGGGCAAACTCCTTGCTGGGGTGACAGAAGCAGCAGAGCGTGGGTGCGTGGGTGGGCAGTGGGAGAAGCAACTCGGAAATCATTATCTGTTGGTTGAAACCTGCCTGGGGTAAAATTTCAACTCGATTTTATAGCCTTCCATTATGACGCAAAGAAAAATTTACGACCCTCGCTTGAAAAGAGGGCTGAGGCCTTTTCTCACCGGTTTAAGAATAGGCAGCAGATGCCGTGACAGCGACCATTGTTCCCGGTAGACACAGGCGACCGAGCAACCTCGGCCCGCGTGCGCCAGGCGCGTCCCCCAGCCGGGCGGGTTTTTACTACTCCTGTCGCCTCTGAGCCCCCCGCGCGCACCCTCGCCCCTCGCCCCCCGCACACCCTCACACACCCTCTCTCTGTCTCTCTGTCTCTGTCTCTGTCTCTCTCTCGCTCTCTCTCTCACACACACACACACACACACACACACACTCGGCGGCTCTCAGTAATTTTTCATAAGTGCAAAGCTTTGCTGAACCAAAGGTCACCATCCAAGCCACTAACAACTTCTCGCCGGCGCACGGTTCCAAATCAGGAAGCAAAGGGAACTATTTGTCAGTGGCCTGACAGCTAAGTTCATTAAGGATTTAAATCAGAATAAATAAAAGTCGCGAAAATATTTACCTGCCGGCCGCGCTCCCGCGCCCGCCGCCTGGGGCCGAGGGTGGAGAGCTGGGGGCGCCGCACGGCCCCCCTCGGCGGGTGATATTCTTGGGATCCCTGCACTTTCCAAGTCGGAGAGAGCCCTTTGCGTGGCAGATTAATGACGACTCCGTGTTTCTTAAGGGACGTGCTGAATTAATTATTTCACCAATCACGTGGTCGGGACTTGTAGAAATCTATTCTTATCATCTTCCTCGCACTTTGAAAATTCTCCGGGTTATGAAAGGCCCTCCCCCGGCTGGCGGCGAGCCCCGGCCGCCCAGCCCGGCGCGGGGGGCAGGGAGGGCTCCCCAACATGGCGGGCGCGCGGGAAGCGCAGTCTGCCGAGGGTCCCGATTTACTGTACTGTACTCCGGCGGGCTCGGCTGTGCACTCGCTTCCTCCTCATCCCTGCCCGCGACTCAATACACACAACCGTACTGATGTATTGGTGGGCACAGGAGGAGCCATTAACCAGAAGACGGGCAGAGAACAATCATAAAATGTGTCTGAATATTTAAACTTCTGTCTGCGCACTTATAAATACACATGTCCACGCGTCGGAGGCGAGCCCTTCCATATATTAAGGACACATGTCTGACTTTATGCATTCTGCTCATTTCCTGTCGCGAGTAAGGCCCCCTCCCATCTATTTTGGGACTCCTGTCTTGGCCCCCTCTTCAAGGCGAAGCCAAGACGAGAAAAGCCCTCGTGAAAAAAACAGCACACGCCACTTTTTATAGTGGGGAGTGTTTATTGTGGTCTGGAGGGCGGAGGGGGCACTCGGGGGAGGAGGGGCAGGTGCTGGAGGCCCCGGTGGGGCTGAACAGCACAGGAGAAGTAGAAGGAGCCCAAGATTGGAGGCCAGAGGGGTGAGATCCGAGCAGCCACCCGCCAGCCCCAGGTTGGCCCAGAACCCAGCACCAGACACGCCCTCAGAGTTGGGGGTCCAGGAGATCTCTCTCACCCACCATGTCACAAAGAGAGACCGAGGGGGCCTGGGGCTGATCCGGGCCATGCTGAGAGCCAAACTGGAGCCTCCTTTTAGCCCGGGAAGTTACTTATTTTCCTTTTAAAAAATAATGTCCACCCCGCTGCAGCCTGAATCCAGCCTTAGGCTTCCCAATTCTCACAACATATGATGGCCAAATTGGGAGTGTAGGTATGGGGGAGGGGGAAAATGGTAGAACTGCTAAGCCTTACACAGTTTAACCTTCACACATCAGGCACATTACAGAAAATAATAAATTGTATATATTGGATGTTAGCTTTTAGAAGACCTAATAAAGAATGCTTCTGTGGAGGCACCAAACAGGAGGGAGATTTCGCTACACCTTTTATTATTTCAAATATAGATCAATGAATTACATCAAAACTACAGGCAACAATTAGTATAAATAATACTTTAATCAGTGGCAGCAGAATATTGGTCAATTCTATTAAAAAAGCATCTTGTGTGAACAGACACCATGGGGCTGACTGACAATGTCATCTCCCAACAAAAGGCTGCAAGGGACAAAGTGAGATGGGAGTCTGAGGAGCAATGTCCTTGCCAAGCACTTCACTCCCCCCAGTCACGACCCCAACATACCACTGAAAAAACTCAAAACAAACACTTCTGGCTCATATTTGGGGGAACAAACTGGAAACAAATAAAAGCAAATGGGCACTGAGGCTTCCTACACCTAGGTTTCTCCAGAGTACGTTCCCAGATGGAAACTCATTTCCTTCCCTGCCCTAGGTGACTGGGGGGGCCCTGCTTCTTCCCTGCCCCACTCCTGTGGGCCCAAATGGACGCTGGGGTCCGATTGGGACCTCAGGGTTGAGGGCCGCCCTCTGGGCCATCCAGTCTCCATTAACATTTCAAAAGACAATCCCTAGAAGAGGAGAAGGAGAAGTGAGACTTATAAACAAACAAGTTCTCTGATCAAGTCACTTTCCAAAGTAGTGGGGCTATTTTTAAGAAGGACCTTGGGTTTTCTTCATCAAAACATGCCTCTTGGCTTTCCTCTGGGGCGGGGGTGAAGGCAGTTAAGTAGTTTGGCATTTGGTCTGAAGCTGGAGTGAGTAACCTGAACTTCTGGGAAGGGGGAAATCTATATAATAATCTTTGCAATACATATGTAGTTGGATGTTGTGAAAATATATATTACCCCCTCCCAAGGAGAAGGTTCAATGTATTCACAGATTCGGGTTTTAGGAAAGAATCTGAGCAACTTTCCAACTTGCCTAAGGATAGTGGCCCTTTTCATATCCTACATCCAAAGACTGCTCTCCATGTTCGAGGGGGAAAAAAAGAAGAGAAGGGTAGTTAGAGTCCAAAAGGTTAAGGGTTTAGAGGTCAGTCCTCCTGGCTGAAATACAGCTAATCGAATAGAAAATTTGTCCTCTGGATGAACCTGATTCTGTAATTTAGCCGAACTTCAGTAAAATACCTTTTCAGCTTCTCAACGTGAGGGCATCAGAAAAAAGACGTCTTGACTATGTATGAACTCTGTGCTTTTTGTCATAGAAACAATGATGCGAATAATGCAGGAATATCCATCTTTAATATCCCGACGTGGCGATATTCAAGTATTGCCATGTGCAAGTCTGAGAGCCAGGCTCACCCCAAGGAGGAACAAAGAGCTGTCCCTAGGGTCTAATACAAAAGAGCAAGGCTTGGAAGACACTTTAGAGAAGTGGAATTTCAGCCTAGGGACTCCAGTGAATACCTGCCCTCAGCTCTCAGGAGACACAGAACCAAAGAACATGCCTGTAGAGAAAGTCTTTTTTCCCTCTACACTTAAATATATTTTAAAAATTACCTCCGAAATCTTCTAAAGTGTTCTCAAGCACTGAAAAAATAGCCCCAATTCTGAATCTCCCTTTCAAGCTCACCCCCTCTCCCTCCCCACTTTTGTGACTTTTCGGTAGCTACTACCAGGGGTTTCTTTTTGGAGCCCGAGGCTTTGCGGTTTAAATTTCTGAAGCCTTGTTTCATCTGAGTCTATGAACTCTGGCTATTACCTTTGACTCTTTCCCTTATCCTTAAGGGTCAACATTTTAGAAAAGTGAGCTTTGAACCCTTCCCAGGCAAGGCGTAAGAAAAATGACTAAAGAACATCTCTCCTGTTGTTTGAGAGCGATTGTTTTTAAACCACTATTCTCAAGGCAAGGGAGAGGAGAGGGCCTGAAAACTTTTACACTTTCACAAATTCTGCTAATTAATGGGTTGAGGAAAACTTCCTTAGATTTGTTTTTTTTTAAATTAAAACTTAGGGAAAAAACCCTAAGACCAACTTTTGTGGACTTCTAGATTCAATTAGTTTTTCTTTCATTTTTTACAGCAAGACTTCCTCACCTTCCCACTTTCTCCCCAACGCACATTCCCTCTCCCATATAGGCAGGCCATACACCAGTGCCTATAAAATACTGCTATATGGGGTATTTGGGGACATTTGGAATCCAGTTGGAACAGAAAATTCAGTCATTATCTAATGACCCAGAACACAGAGGTTTTGTTTTCTTTCCCCAGAAGGAAAATGTTGGACCATTTGTTTCTTTCTTTTTTCCCTTTCCTTTAATCACCCAGAACTGGTTGTAAGCACAGTGCTGAAAAAAGCACATGTGGAAACATATTTTCAGGAACTCAACTTTGAGTGGATCCTTTGCTTCCCTCTAGAAGGGTTAAGGGCCCCCTACACACATTTCCGGGGAGTGGGGAGGGGGTGGAGTTCAAAATGCCGGTTACAGCCAGAAGTAAGTCCACGCATCTCTTGATTCTGCTCCCTGAAACCCAGCCCCTTTCACCATGGTAAGTTTTTTGGCAATAAGATGTCAGTTATTTCCGCACCCCAATTCCCCAACAAATAAATATTTAAGCAAATATAATCTAAACATACAACAGCCCGTTTGCACTTCCTTCTTAGACTCATTTCTTTGGGCATGGGGCCACTGGGAGCAAAAACAATTTTTTTTCACACTGGAAATTATACAGACAACCCAGAAAGTTCAGAAATCCTGGCCCAGCCCTCCTGCTTCCACTGAAAGCACCTAGCGCAGGGGTGGCCAGCCTTCTGCCTCAACACGCCCACATTATGAAACCACAAAGATCCCTGGAGGGGCGGGGGGTGGGGGGCGGGGAGGATGTTCAAATTCACACTGGGCTAAAGCATCCAACCTTCATTTGCAAATTCAAAATCCAACAGCGGAGATTTTCAGGAGTTTAATGACTTGCCAAGGTTTTATGTTCTCAGTAGCTCCTGCCATTTGATAATATACTTAGAGAGAAAATCCCACCCCCCGACCCCCAACCCCGCTCCAGGGAGGGGGCTACCCTCGGGCAGGGTGCTAACCTAGTCCGAGGTAGGCCTGCCTGTCCCAGGTCCACCCTACAGTACCTTAGAGCCCAGGGAGGTGACAGCAGGCCCGGCCTGCCCCCGCAGCTTCGGCTCAGCCGGGAGCTCAGGGAGGGATGGGCCCAGGGTCCCCACTTCTATAAGGTCGTCAGGTCCGTGTGGTGGTCCTTGGCCAGCGGCTGCAAATGCTGGCCAGGGGCAGCTGAGGAGGAGCAAGAGGAGGAGGAGGAGGAGGATGAAGACGACGACGATGAGGACCTGCCTTTCGTGTTGGGCAGCTTGTGATCTTTTTTCCACTTCATCCTCCGGTTCTGGAACCAGATCTTGATCTGGCGCTCGGAAAGACACAGGGTGTGAGCGATTTCAATCCGACGGCGCCGCGTCAGATACCTGTTAAAATGAAATTCCTTTTCCAGTTCTAGGACTTGCTGCCGGGTGTAGGCCGTCCGGGACCTCTTGGGCTCCCCGCCGGTGTAGTTGGGGTTCACTGCGAGACAAGCAGACCGCACAGTCAGGTCAGCGCCCGGCCTCGGATTAGGCCACAGCCGCTCACTTCCTGGCGCGCCCCGAGGCCCGGGCCCTCCCCGCGCGCTCCTGGCCCACTCCCTGCCTCTCACCCGCCCGCCCGCCCTCCCAGGCGCACACGCTTACTCCCACCCAACCCCTCGGACCCACCTGCTCCCCTGGGCTCTCGGGCGGGGATCCCCAAACGTGCCCCCATCTCCCCAGCCCACCGCCCGCTCCAGCATTCCCAGGCATTTTGGAAATCCCCTCTTCCACCGCGCTCCCTCCGCTCTGAAAATGGAGTCCTCCCCCACCCCACCCCCATCTCCACCCCCTTTTGCGCCCAGAGCCAAGCAGCCAGCCACATGGTCCCGGCCTGCTCCCTCGGCTATAAAAATTTATGGAGAGAGTAATTGCGGCGCCCATTGAAGCCCCACACGCCCCCACCCACTCGCACCCCCTCACGGGGCCCAGGCCGCCGGGCTGGGGTGGAGACTGAGAGGTCCTGGGCCCGTGCCTTACCGGAATTCACGTGCACCTTCTTCATCCACGGGTAGACCACGGCCGGCTGCTTGAGGGCCGTCCCAGGGGGCGGCTGCTTGGGGCCGCCCGGCTGGCTGCAGGCCCGGGAGCCGGGCAGGGGCGGGGGCGCGGGGCACGGCTCTCCCGGGGCACCGTAGTGGCCGCTGGGGCCGCCGGGTTCTTGCCCGTGACCCCTCGTGGGCAGTGCCGAGCCGGGTCCAGGGCCGCCGCCTCCGAAGGTCTGCTCACCGAAGTCGGGCCGTGGGTAGAGCCCCGGGGGCTGGAAGTCGGCCCCCTGCGCGCCGCCGCCGTAGTAGTCAGCGCCCTGCTCGCCTAGGTAGCCACCCTGTAAATATTCCTCGCACGGAGGAAACTTGGGGTCCACATACTTGGAGTTCACCATATACGAACTCATGGCCATTAATTTCAGAAGGTAGAAAATACTAATTTTTCTCGTGTTGTCTTTTTTTCTCCTTCCATAGGGCCCTCCTACTTGCTGTCAACTGAATAAAGTTGGCGGCCATGTGACCAGACCAGCCAATAGCGAGGGAGTGAGTTTATCACCGGGTTGGTGAGCATCTCATAATTTTCACAAATTTAACTAAATAACATACGTGTAATCAAGTGACTTGCCATGGCACATTTGAGGGCCCCCGCCAGATGTTAAAGTAGTTCTAATCCCAGCATCCTCATTCCCCACAGGTAACCCCAGCTTTTGTCTGCCACTGACTTTGCTAACCTCCAGTGCCCCCGCCACTCACCCCGCCTGTAATCAGCCCCCCAAAATGGGCACAGTTCAAGGGGGAATGAATCCTCATATCTGTCAGGGTGCATGTCATCAAAAAGTGGGGGGAAGAGGTGGCTTCTGAGTTGGGCAGAGAACCCCAGGCAGGCAGGACTCCCGCCCACCCAGCCTGCGGAGCAGGGACTCTGCCATACAAAGGCCGAATCCCGGCTTTGTCTTCATCAGGGTCACCCAAAAGTTACTACAATCTGGCTGGCCTGAATCAAATTAGGCAATGAGTAACTGCCAAGCTTTCTTCGAGGCCGGGGTGTTTCCAGCCAAATCTTGGCCCTTGCTGGTATGGCAAGAAGCCCCCGTGATGCTCTAGCCAGGGCAGCTGAAGGGTAGCCCAGGAAGGTGGTGAGGGCACCCCCAGCTCACCCAAATGGACCCCAAAGGACCCTAAACTCCTTCTGCCCAGCTCACCTTCTTCTCACATGGCAGTAACAGCCAATGAGGCCCTTCATTGGGCACCCTCCAACTTTATGCCCCTGGAGGGCAGACCTGGGGCTGGAGCGACCTGGACTCCCACCTTGCTCCCCAGTGCCCCCAAACCTAACCTTCTGGCCCTGCATTCATGCAACCAATTAGGGTTTTACACAGGGGGCCCTGTTTAAAGGTGAGGAGCTTCTCCAGGAAAAGGCTGCTCTATGTCACCAGGCTCAGACGATCCTCCTGGAGTCCAAGGTAATAAAACAGAAAGAGGCGACTGACCCGCCGGCTGCCTCTGGCCTCCAGTTCTAATTCTGGCTATTGCGGAGAAATGTGAAGTTTTTGCATCGACCATATATTCCCCTAGAATCGAATCTGTGACTATGTGGATACCACACAAATTCGGTTCTACAGGGTATATATAGACAACGTTACTACCTCCGGGTTCCACCCAGAGCGAGTACCCAGACCGTTGCCAGCCCCCGCCTCTTCCTCGGAGCCGCCACCAGCCCAACGCAGCCACCCTGCCTTTCAGAGATGGTTCAGGTAGCCTGAAGCGCTTGGTGGCAATTTGCAGCAACGAGTTCCCCACCCTTGTACCAGGGCTGGGGTTACCAAGCAGCCAAGGAGTCAGGACAGTCTTCTTAAGAAAGAAAGAAAAGAAGAAAAATAATCCACCCCAGAAATGGCGGCTTTATTACCCCCCTCTCCTGATCCACATAACCCCCACTCCCTCAGCAAGTGGTATTTTCCAGAAAGGAGCAAATGCCCTCAATGAGAGAAGAAAAAGAGGCAAGAGGGAATATCCTCTGCTCATTCTTCTGCCCACTGTCAGGGCAAGCCAGGTTGGCTGACAAAGCTAGTTCTCCAAGAAGTCGCGCATTTACCTTCCAGGGCCCTGAGCCCGGCTGGCCTCTCTGTCCGGCTGCTGCTGCAGACCCCGAGGCAGGCGCTGCTTGCAGGCAACGAGCTGCCCTGGGCTGGGGCCGGCGCACTAATGGTGAAGGGCAGGGCAAGGGGTCACTCGAAATCATTTACAAACATATCACAAAGTTTCATTATTTTTGCTTTGCCAACAGCAGCACACAAGAGTACAAAAGTTCATGAGTTGTGCCCGCCCCAGCGCAGTCCAGGGCTCACCCCTCGCTTCAGGGCACCAAGAGCACTCAGGGCCCGGATGGATTTCAGAGGCAGACGGATGCCTGGGCTCAGGTGGGGCTTTTGGATCCCTGACTGTAGGCTAGAGGTGTTTAAAATTTTTTTTTGATTGTTTTGATTTTACCCTCATGATTCAAAAATTATTATCAAGCCTCAACCTGGGCCTGATGCGGTGGAGCCCCCCTCTGCCTGGCAAAATTGGCTGGCTTCTCCTACTCTGCACTGTGCACGCTCCCTGCGCACTCTCCCACCGCCATCCTCTGGTTCCAGTGCTTTGGCTATTTTGTAGGGATATCCTGGGTGCCAATTCTAACAAGAGCTCTGAGGCTGCCCCACACCCAGCCCCCTTGTCCCAGGGGGGCTCCCCCCAACTTCCTCTAATGCCAAGAGCTCCCACACACCTGCCTTCCTGGGGACCTTGGGCCTAGGCTTTATTCAGACAAATTGGAGGAGCCTGCTGGGACAGGTGGGGAACCGGGTGAGGGTACATACACATTTTCATATTTGTTAGACGCTGTGACCTGCATTTCACCTTATTGCTCAACTTGTTCAGACAGGTCAAAGCCAATGAGTTATTGATGAACAAAAGCGTTAAATATTCACCTCCCGCTCAACTGCCCATACAAATGCTTTTGATGTCTCCGGCTTTTTGTGCTGTGTTCAGCTACAGGGTGCTGATCGTGGGTTTGCAAGCAAGGAGCATCCACAGAGATAAGCACCCAGAGCCAGGGCAGCCTCAGGAAGAGGGCAAGACCAGGAGTTCCTGGGGACACCGGATTTTCCAGCCTGGAGCCCTGAGCCCTGTTTCACTTGAGACAGCCTGATTCATAGAGGTGAACTATGTACTGGGCGGAACCTCCACTCTTGGGGGGTGGGCACAGCCCCCAGGGAGTCGATTAGGCTGCCCAGCCTGGAGGGCAGAAACCTGGCCCAGAGCCAAGCCTTAGCTTCCGGGACCCTAGAGAGAGGATGTCTCACCAGGGAGGGAGGGTGCCTAGTTCCTAACATCTTCGCACATTCCATCTCCTATGAAAATAAAATCAGCTCCGTTTTGCATGAGGGAGGGGCTACTGGTCTTTCCTTGATTCTCTCCCCACTACCATCATCTTAATGAGAGAGCCTTCCTGGAGATTTCACAGGCCTCCTCAGAAATGTACCTGTCTTCTGCGGCATATGCAACTCAGAAAGATCCAAACTTCCAAGCCCAAGACCCCAGGAATCTCTGCCCCCCCTCGCACCCCACCCCACCCCGCCACGTCTGCCTGCAACACTAGCGGCTCTGGTGCAGAAATTCTCAAATTGCAGTTATGGAGAAGCAGAGGTGAATTAGAAGGGCCGTATCCCTCCCTCCTCGCTCGGCCGCAGTTCCCCAACCCAGGGCCTAAACCGCCGCGGCTGGGGCTGGGGCCTAGGGAGTGGGGGGGTGGGACTTCCACGTAAAGCTCAGAATTTGCAGCCCTTCCCGGAAGCCGGCCAACCCCACACACCCGCAGCCACAGAGGGTTGCGGGGTTTTTGTTTGTTTGTTTGTTTGTTTTCTTTTTACAAAAATCTAGAGAAGGTTGGGCCAGGCTGAACCGGGTTGAGCTGGGCTGGGCGGCAAAGGGGGATCGCGCTGCCTGGGTGTTCAGCAGATTGATTCGAGCAGAAA